CAAAATATAGTGGGAAAGTAGACATTTATAAGAGCCAAGGTGGCGCAGTGGTTAGGGTGCAGTACTGCAGGCCACTTCAGCTGACTGTTATCTGCAGTTCGGCGGTTCTAATCTCACCGGCTCAAGGTTGACTCAGCCTTCCATCCTTCCGAGGTGGGTAAAATGAGGACCCAGACTGTGTGTTGGGGGGGGGGGCGATATGCTGACTCTGTAAACCGCTTAGAGAGGGCTGAAAGCCCTATGAAGCGGTATATAAGTCTAACTGCTATTGCTATTGCTACATATGGGAGAGAAAGATGTGAAGATCATACATATGAGCATTAGTTCAATTTTTTTTCAAAATCATTTAACTACAGTTGCTGTACGAGGCAATCGCTAAACAAGGACTCCCTGTACGGTGGTTTCTAAATTTGTGCAGTTCTGAAATGTTGGTTTATAACATCTCCTAGTTGGGAATATGGTGGGAATCATTGTACAACATACCTGAAGTATAGCAAATTAACGAAGAAAGACGTCATTGTACTGATATAAATGAATATTTTAAATTGGAAATAAAACTTGGGTATCCTTGAAAGACGTCTTAAACTAAAAGCAACTAAGGTATTATTATTATTATTGTTCTGTCTTTCAGTTGTACTTACAAGCCAAGACTTCTTGTAGCACTGAGCAACATTATGAATATTCTGGACAATGCTGCCTCAAATGTGAACCAGGTAATACGCTAACAACATTTTTCTCACGCTTAAGCCAAAATGGATTTGCAAGTAAAAGAATAATATCGTTATTTTTTTTAAAAACAAAATTGAATTGCATTCTTGCAACACTTTTTATGTCTCTCAAAAGCAGAATTGCAAACATTTTGAGGGCGAAACCCACACTTGGGTTTTAAATGCCAACCTGCGGAGCAGAAATTCGAAGAGTGAGTTACAGGCAGTCCTAACTTAGCAAGCTGTTGTTTAACAACTGTTTGAAATTACCACGGACTTCAGAAACAACTACATATGACTTGTCCTTGAAGTTGTGACTCCTACACACAAGTAAACATTTACACATAAGGTGGTCACATTTCAGACACATGGCAACTGTCTTATAACTGATTGCAGAGTCTTGCAGTCACATTGTTCCAATTTATGATGTTTTTTTGCTGTTTTCCAATCAAAACACCCGTTGGATATGCTAGATTCACTTAATGACTACATGGATCACCAAATAACCAGGTGATTTGCTTAATGACTCCAAGAATAGCTGTAATTTTGTGTCAGGTCATTGATGACCACAATTACTTAGGACCAAAATTCTGAACTCAATTCTGGTCGTAGGTCAAGGATTATTCTTTATATGTTTAAAATTAATTAGATATAGTTAGTTATAGACTATTATAGGAGCATGTAACCCTTTCCATTCCAATAGAGTAAAGTGAAATCTTTGAGGTAATTGGAGTATAGGGAGAGCTGTAGTTGAGGGCAAAAATAGGATCCTTAGCCCACAAATTTTGCATTCAGACAATTTTTCCACATAAAATCAGGAATCTGAATAGTAACGAGCTCAGTATTACTGGTATCCCATTATATGCAGGTTGAATCCGGCATGGCAATTTGAAAAGCAAAATTGTGGAATGTTTACCTATTGAGATAACTAACAGAGATTTATATTCCTGGTTAAAAAATTGAATTTTAAAGATAGATTTTATTGTATGAAGGAAGATTTGGAGGCTACTCGGAATTGTGTTTGCAATTATTTCTTCAAGCTGTGTATTCTGCACTGGTTAATTCATCAATGCCATGTCTTCCGCGCTGATATTTAGGAATATTTAGGTCCTACACAGCAGTTGGGAAAACCTTGAATCTCAAAGGACAAGTCAGTTTAGGAAAAGCTTTCTGAACTCAACCCATTTTGAACAATTTCCTCCTAGCTGGTCATGCTCAGAACAGACAGTGCTTCTGAATCACACAAACTATTTAAAGAGGATGAATCATAGCTTCAGCATTTAAAACCAATCAGAAGATGCCTTCAAGGAAGGACTTGAAAGACTTCCAGGCAAATTCTGTTATAAAGTGAAAAGCCACCGTGTGCTAATTTCTTCCTTTTCTCTGAATTTTTCAAAATACAGATAATGGGGAAATGGGGGAATACAGGTAGTCCTCAACTTACAACCACAATTTAGCACAAAACTTATGTTGCTAAATGAAACATTTGTTAAGTCAGTTTTACTATTTTTCTTGCCACGGTCGTTAAGTGAATCACTGCAGTTGTTAAATTAGTAACATGGTTGTTAAGTGAATCTGGCTTTTCCATCGACATTGCTTGTCAGAAGCAAAAAAACACAACTGATCACATGATTCCGGGACATTGCAACCGTCATAAATATGAACCAGTTGCAAAAGCATCTAAATTTTGATCGCATGACTGTGGGGGATGCAGCAGCGGTCATAAGTGTGAAAAATGGTCATAAGTCACTTTTTCAGTCCTGTTGCAACTTTGAACGGTCACTCAAGTGAACTGTTGTAAGTCAAGGACTGCCTACATTACAAATGGAAAACAATAACTGAACAATCTACTGTGTAATTTCTCGCATGTAAAGCAGGGAGATGGCAGGTTAAAAAAACATCTTTGAATTCCATGTTTTACATAGACAGTGGTTGTTTAGTACCTCATATCCAGGCTAACTACATGCTTCACTGTGAATTGTCCAATTCTGTTGTTAAATCAATTTGATTAAGCAAGTGTTTGATTCTGATAATGTAATAAGCACCTAAATTGATGGCATTATAATGTTCTTTGGTTGTTCAGTCATAATTGGACATATTTTGCCATGTGCTGACTCCATTAAGATGATCCATGCAGGCCCGAGACAGCCAACCAATTACCTCCCAAAGACCGATTCGATCACACAGGCTTGGCCTTCTCCGGGTCCCATCGGCCAGCCAATGTCGGCTGGCAACCCCCTGGGGGAGAGCCTTCTCTGTGGCTGCTCCGGCCCTTTGGAACGAGCTCCCCGTGGAGATCCGGACCCTTACTACCCTCCCGGCCTTCCGTAAAGCTACCAAGTCCTGGCTGTTTCGGGAGGCCAGGGGCTGTTGAAGTATCCAGCCCCGCGTCAATTGTGAATATTGTATATTTTAAATTGTTGTATCGTCTTACTTATCCCCTTTTCCTGTTTTATTGTGAGCCACCCGGAGTCCTTCGGGAGTGGGCGGCATACAAAACTAATAAAACCAAACCAAACCAAGCCTGTAAAATCATGGAATCAATTACAGGGCGGGGCATAACCTTTTCCTAGGGGGTCACAGCAACAATTTAAAATCAACACAAATAATT